TCTCTGTAATTTTTGAGCTGTCCCTATCCTGAAAATACATTATGAGATCTTAAAAGAAGGTTCCAGTAATCGTCACTTTTGTTTTTGAAAATAACCATTTTTCAGGCTATCTTCACAAAACATAAGCTGAACAATTAGTGTCTGTCTTATTGAAAAACTTGAGGTAAAGAAAGGATTTCAGCATAGTATTTGTTTCTGGAAAAACTGTAAAATTCACTTATATGATTTACCTCAGTTTTTTTAAAAAAATGACTCTATAATTTGGTAATCGATTATTTTATAACAAACTCTTTAATTATCTGATTATAAACTTTTCATTTGTGGATTATCAATTTTAATCTTACAGTTAAGATTAAAGTTAATCTTAACTATAATCTTACAGTTGAAACCTTCCTCTCACCTGGCGCCTAATTCAACTTTCCTTCCATGAGCAGAGGTGCTCAAAAAATGCAACTGGCCCAGGTAGAATAAAACCTGCATAGCAAAGCATCTAGCAAAATCATATGGGTCATTTTATAGTCAAGCATGTTGGAAAACTAGGTTCTCTTTTAGGCTCTTGATTTTCATATGCGCTTGATTTTTTAACCTAGAAAAGAAATTATTACTTGTACCACTAATTCTGACATTTGTATTTCTATACACTACACAGCACCTAACATAAGGTTTTAGACTTAGTGGGAGATGCCCAATGCATTTTCACAGATTTGATATTATTTTGCTTAGATGTTCCCAAGAAATAGGGTCCTATATTTCTACGTTCCTTTAACTTATGATTCCATATCCATTGGTCAGAGCTTGGAGTCCCGTGAATTACAAGTGATTTCCCCCCCAGTGGCCCTAAGGCCACTCACTGGGGCCACAGAGGGAACTCACTGGTGACTGACTGCTGTTCAGACACAATGGGCTTCTTGGTGAACAGGAAGAATCAGAGCGTGCCATAACTCCCACTCTTCTGGCTTTGAAATGAACTGGCTTTCTTAAAGCTGTAGAATTACAATATTTTCATAGTTTTGCTAGATCTCCATGAACCCATATAATAGGGCTTGTTTTCCTGTCTATTTTCAGGGTAACTTTTGATAACGTTTATTACCTAGCAGACTGTCATTCTGTTGGTTATTTCTCCATAACAAAGGTGAATTTTCAAACAAATCACAACTTACACCCTGGAAAGCACTTTAGAGATCATTTAGTTCAAAAACCTTTTTTATAGCCCTGTTACTGAGTTTGTCTGCATGAGTCTCATTTTCATCAGAAAGAGTCATGCAAGCTATTCCCCTGGGGTCCCAGGTGCTTCCTTAGGAATGGAGGCTGCCTCATGGTCATTTCCAGACTTCTGAAACGTTAACATGAGGAGCTCTGGGATAGCATGTCCAGATTTTGAGAACAGAAAAATAGGATGTGTAGTGACCCTTTGGGTCAGCTTGAGCCTTTGGTTTACGCACAGTTAATCCCAGCCACACTGCTTGTTTCCTCTGGTTGGATTTTTTATTTGAACAGGAAATGTATTAGTCATAAAATGGTAAGAACAAATGCAGGTCTTCTTAGAATCCAACATAAGCAGTCTGACTGCAGTAGTAGGATCCTCCCATGGCTCTCTCTGAATGCCCAGGGAACTATGGGCTCCAGGCAGACTGACCACATAAGGATCTATTTAGGTTTCCAATTCAGCCATGTCAGAATTTTAATCCTGATATCGCAAACTCATGCCATCCTAAATTTACAACACATATGCTTTGACTGATAAATACCATTTATCAGTTTATTTTTTTATTGGCCTTTTGTTTTGGGGGAGGCGATGGCCTAGAAACATGAGATTATAGGCAAGGGATAAGCATTCTTATCCCTTGTGAGGTACTTATTAGTGATATTCTATCACTTCCCATAATGCTTACTAATTTTTTTTCTCTCCTCTTTCTCTGGTTTCTCTGTCTTTTCCTTGTCATACTCTCGTTTTCATTTCGTTTCTGTTTTTTTTTTTTGTTTTTTTTTTTAACTTTTACTTCTTTTCCTCTTTCTCTTTTTCCCTCTCTTTATTTACTGGTCACCTGTGTTGACCCTTCCTCTAAGAAACAGTCTTGTTTTTCAGTTTAACTATAACTCAAAATACAAGGCACAGTCCAAATCAACTGGATTGCTTATGGAAAAGGAGGAACAGTGACACCTGCTGGAAGAACCACTGGTGGTTCTGATTCCAGACAGAATCTCCCTGGAAGAATGTACATGCCCACGAAACTTCACGGAATTATCTGCGATACCCAGGAACCCAGGTTAAGGCTAATGAGAATAGCTAGTATTTATCCAGTGCTTACCTACTGCCAGATGCTTTATATTAAACCTCGTTTAACCCCCACAATTACCCTGAGGTGGGTATTATCATCTTCATTTTGTAAATAAGAAACTGAGACTTAAGTAACTAGCCCAAGTTTACAGCTATTAAGTGGTAAACTTGGAATATAAACCTAGGGCCATCAGAATTCTTATCTCCTAAGCTATATTGCCTGCTCTAAATACATCCATACATATATAAATTATATATATTCATATGTATTATTTTTTTCTTTCATTAATCCTAATGACACCTCTTAAAGGTAAATAAATAACAATTAACTAAAAAGGCACATGGTAGAACACAATGGTACTCTCACATATTCTTATTTCCAAGCCCCCTCCTGACACATTCCATCGCCAATGTTTTGTTTACACAGAAGAGGAGAAGCTACACTACACTGAGGGTTTCTAAGGAAAGATAAAGCTACAACAGCGATCAGGATTAACAGTACCAGAGCACAGGGCGAAAGGAATGTATACTACTCAGGAGCTGAAACACTGAGCTAATGGCAAAAACAGTTTTCAGTCTAGGGAGTAGAAGGGTCATCCCGCTAGACTTGAAAATCAGGAAGCCTAGACTTAAGTCTGATAAACTATATGTGTTATAAAACAATACATGCATTTTTCAGTCATTTTGTTTCCAACTAGCAAAATTAATACCTGTTGACATGACCTGTCATGTATAGAAAACAAGAGGAATTAAAATTGCTATGTCTTAAGCTAAGTTTCCCAGAAAAATACAAATTGCATAAGTACACCTAACTTCCCCAACCTCAAAGGCTGGCATTTTCCAACAGGAAGATATACAGAGCTGAAACAGACGTGACAGGCACAGAAGGAAAGCTGTCTGGCCAATGATTATTGGCAGCAGAGTATCACAGAGGAGAGAATGAGATAAAACCACTGATAATTAGTACATCTCTTTCTCTTCCCTCCTTCCCTGCCTGTCCCCCTGCCCTGCATCCTTCCTCCTTTGGAGTTCACTTACAACTTCAAGCTTATTAGGCTTAATTGGTTAAAAGGTAGTCAAGATAAGATCTACAGATTCCAGGACCTGCTCTGACCTTGAATCAGTCTTAGTACGGTGACTCACGGTGCCTGGGTCTTCCTGAGGACCTCTCAAATGGCCATGCTATCTGATTAAAATCCAGGCTACCCACACCCTCTGCACAGCTCTGGCGGGAGCCACTGTGCTCTTGCCCTTTCTCTGTTCTATCCGGGGCTGGTCTGACGTGGACTACAGGCCTCCTCTGGGAGAGCTATGAGTAAGGGCAGATCGGGTCCTTGCTATAATCTCTCGATCTATTTCTTCCCAATGTCCATTAAGCAAGGAAGTACACAGAACAGAGGTAGAGGCTGAGTATGAAGTGAAGCACAAGAAACTCTCAAAATAGATTTTGAGGGTCAAGGTCAAAATCCAAAATTCCTTTCTTCTCACTGACTAAGTGTTAGAGAAGTTTGCTAGGTTTTTCTGATTATGTGTATGTGGGGGGGGGTGGGGGGAAGGTAAGAAATTAATCCCTCTTGTGCCATACTCAAAAGAGCAAGTAACAATATTAGCAACAAACCTACCATTTTGGTGACCAAGTCATCACAAAATTGGATTGATCATAACCCTCAGTCTACAGAACCCTACTGGTTTCTCTCTTTACCCAGAAATGTATAGACTTAATCAAGTACACTTTCTGAAATGGTATATAGTTTATAGTTCATATATCTATCTGAATGCCAGAAGTGAGCAATACTTGGAATACCACCGAGAGATGACTATGACTGTTTTAACACATTAACTGCCACGTGAGTTGTGTTTAACTCATGCTAGTTTTGAGCCCGGGGCCTCGTGAAGCACGTGAAGACCCAACTCTCTGAAACAAATTGAATGAGTATGTTGTGAGTCACACACAACTCAATTGGCATGCAGTGAAAAAACTGATACTAGTGCTGCATGAGTTGCGTATAAACTCACACACAGAAAATAAAAAATAACAAATTTTTCCTTAAATTAGAAAGGATCATTTTGTTTT